TTTTAATTTCTTTTTAATTTTGTATCGTGTTTTAAAAAATTCAAAATTAGTTGTATTTGAAATAAAAATAAAAAAATTAGCATATACGCACTCCATCTATGTGAAATTAAACATTTTCAAATTTTGTTTTCTAAAATAATTTTTTTGGTAAGTTAAAAAACAAAATCTAAAATAAAAAATAAAAATATGCAAAAGCCAAATAAAAAAAATTGAAAAATGAAAAACAAGACTCTTATAGAAAAAGGAATTTTCAGAATGCCTAAAAAGTTCTTAGAATTAGAATGTCCTAAAAGGATATTTATTTTTTTGTTTTATTTTAATTCTTACTCCCTCTATTTCACAAAAAGTTCATATTTTGACTAATGAGTGAATTAAGGAGTGTATATTTATTGTTGACTTTCCAATTTTACCCTTGTTGTGATAAGTAAAAATAAGATGTGATGGATAGATTATTAATGGTAAAATATGATGTGATAGGTAAGGTAAAAGTAGTTTTTTTAATAAAAAGTTTAAGTGTTTTGGAGAAAGAGAAAAAAGTGAAAGAAAAAATGTTTTAAGAAAACAAAGGAAATATTTTATTCCATATTTTTTGAAGTTCTCAAAAAAAGTTTTTACTTTTTTATTTCGGAAAAGAAAAAATAAGAATTGTTAATTTCAGACGTACAAATGCAGTATATGTCTATTACTCCCTCCGTCCCATGAAACATGGGACTTTTGCTTTTTAGGAGGGATTTAAGAGAAGTGTATTTTGGTATTGAATTTCCAAAAATATCCTTTGATGTGATGAGTAAAAGTATGATTTGATGGATAGATTATTAATAAAAAGGTATGATGTAATAATTAGGGTATGAAAAAGTAAGGGGTAAAAGTGACTTTTTAATAGAAATGAGAAATGTTTTGTGAGACGGATAAAAAAAGAAAGAAGAAAGGTTTCATGGGACGGAGGGGTATTATTTTTGAAACAAAAAAAAATTAAATTTTAAGAACATTATGAAAAATAAAAGATATTAAAAAAGCTTGATTAATAAAAAAGCAAATAAAAGAAAAACTCGAGAAAAACAAAAATAAACGAAAAATAAGAAATGAGCACTATTGCCCCTATGATTTAGAAAATAAGAACCAACGACCCCCTTTTTTTTGTCGGAAAATGAAGAGAGGTGATATGATGCAACATTTTGAAACAACAAGAACTTTTGAAATAAATTCTAAAAATAGGGGGATATTGAATTGGTCAATATTTGATGTATAAAGAAATGTGAAATCCTACCCATTAAGTTAAACTTTTGGATTGGTAAGTGAATTTATAATTAAACACATGATGGTTAATCTTGCTTGACCCTCTACCTTAGTTTTTTAACCCACCAAAACAAAAATCCAACATAAAGTTTTTTCATAAATTTAACAATTCACTTAGAATTTCAGTTTTGGTCAATGTTTGTAACAAATAATGGATGTTTTTTTTTATTTACTGCGCACAGGCTCTTGTACGGAGGATGACATCGAAATGACGCCCAACGAAGATAAACGGACTGTTGGGATTCCTCCAAGTCCAACACCGGATGAGTAGGAGTAAATGAACCAAAATATATAGGTTCACCCAACCCCATTAGTATGAGGCCTTTTGGGAGGTGCCCAAAAACAAATCCGTGAGGGTTTGACCCAGAGCGGACAATATCATACTAATGTGGGGTTGGAGTGAGGGCACGCGCAGTCCCAACACGGACTTTGGTCGTTTCAGGAGAAAATGGCACGTCGAACTTCTCCATTGATTTCTTAATTCCAGTGGGTTATGATATGAAAAGAATTACTCGCGAGCATTATTCCACCATTTTAGCTATTACAATCCCAAAATCTTGGTCGAGTTCTGATGATGATAATGATGATGAGGATGGGGATGATGATGAAGCTAATGGTGATGATAATGATGATGAAGCTAATGGTGGTGATGGTGATGGTGATGATGAAGCTAATGGTGGTGATGATGATGATGATGGTGATGATGATGATGATGGTGATGGTGATGATGATGATGATGATTAACCAAAGACTAGCACCGAGGGCGGGAAACAACCAATGTCTGATCGTGAAGACGCCGGGGTGGGGAAATGGTGATTTTCCAATACGGAGGTTCTAAGTGGTCAAGATAATGAATGACATGGTAGTCTAATTAAATACTCATTAGTTTAATTATTGTTTTATATTCACATTTACTTCTTCTTTTTTTATTGTTTTTGGGTGAAATTATAACGCTCCTTCAAGGGTTTCTTTTCGGTTCTTTACCTTGATGCTTTTATTGAACCGACATGACAAAAATCAATTACTCCTATATATTTTATCTATATAAGTCACATATATACTATACCCTCGTCCACAACTTATTTTCACGTTGACTCATTACTACATATCAAGGCTTTAGAATTACTTCTTCCGTCCCACAAAAAAGTTTCCATTTTGACCAAAAATTGGTCAAACTATTGCACACTTTGACCCTAAATTAAATATAATATAAATAAAGAAATGCTAAAAAAATTTGAGATATCAAAACTAGATCCTAAGATGAATCCAATTATATAAAATTTATTTCATAATTCAATATACCTTTCTCACAATTTGTAGTCAAAGCGTGTAAATATTTGACTAAATACTATTCAAAATGGGAACTTTTTTGTGGGACGGAGGGAGTATTTATTTATTTTGAACTTTTTGCATCGATTTTGTACCATAGAAATACAAGTGATGCAATTGCTCCGATGCACTAAATGTGAAATAACCGATGTAATTGGCCTTTTTTGCACACAAGGGGTGAAGAAGAAGAAGAAGAAGAAGAAAAAAGGGGGTGAAAGAAGAAGAAAAAGAAGGGAGTGGGAGGGGGAATTAGAAGAAAAAAAGAAATGAGGTCAAATTGAAAATTTTAAAATACTCCCTCCGTCTCTAAAAACCTTTCTTTTTTCTTTTTTCATCCGTCCCAAAAAACACTTCTCATTTATATTAAAAAATCACTTTTACCCTTTACCTTTTCATACCTTACCTATCACATCATACCTTTTTACTAATAATCTATCAATCAAATCATACTTTTATCCATCACATCAAAGGACATTTTTGGAAATTCAATACCAAAATACACTCTCTTTAAATCCCTATTCAAAATCAAAACTCCTATGTTTTCCGGGACGGAGGAAGTATAAAATTCTAATTTAGCCCAAATACCTGGAAGTTAACATGGAAACGGGTAAATGAACTTTTAGTGAAATGATTTTGTAAGTTCAGATAATTTTGTGAAAGAATTTAAAGTTCATGTACCACTTCAAGATTCCAATGAAAGTTCAGGTACTATAAATGAAATTTATCCAAACTAGTATTGATTAAAATCAACTCGATCATATTTGGCATTATAAGGGAAAATGCACTTGAAAATCATGTATGGGGGCCAACCATATATGCTCCATTTTATTTCTGCCACAAGAAGTATGAGGAATAATATTTCGTAACATTTAGGTTTAAACCATAACAAATCTATACCAAAACATCCATATCATCATCTCCAAAACTCCCTAAATTAAAAGCCCTAGCTAAAAGGCACTTAGATTAAAATGAAATTTGTATTAAATTGTACTAAAACATCAGTCATTTTCTAAAGTAGTATTTAAACTTTTATACTCCATCCGTTCCCAAATAAACTTCCACTTTCGTTTTTTCTTTGTCCACAGATAAACTTTTCTTTTCTCTTAAAAACCCTCTTACCCATTACTTTTTCATACCCTACCTATCACATCATACCTCTTTACTACGGAGTAATAATCTACATATCACATCTTACTTTTACACATCACATCAAAGGTATTTTTGAAAAGTCAACACAAAAATATACCTCCCTTAAATCCTCAAAAAGTCAAAAAGGAAAGTTTATTTAGGGACGAAAGGAATATTTCTTAAATAGTACTGGAATAATAATGTATAGTGACGGGAGCAATGTCTAATAATGGTGAACATTTATTTTAAATAATGTCTAGTTAAAGTAGACATTTACTTGAACAATGACCAGTGGACAAAAACTAATGGTACTACATTCAAAAATAAAAACATATGATATTATTTTAGGAAAATCATTATATTTTAGTACTATTTACATAAGTTTTCCTAGATTAAACCAGAAGCGAGACACACAAAAAGGAGTCTCAAAAAAAATGCAAAAATAGAAATTAAATTACTGTAAAAAAGGGCAAGAATATGAACTTTATGGTTTTTTATTTGTGACTACAAACATCTCTCAAACAAGCAATCAAAGAATACAACTGAAAAAGAGTCAAAGCTTGCTAGTTTGGAATGATTAAAAAAACATGAGACTTTATTTTGGGAGAAGAATAAAACTGGAATAACCTCTCAATTTAGAAAACCCTTTGTGCATGCAAGCCAATTCTTGGAGTAGAACATAAAATATATACGGATATTTATTTAATTCATTATTTATTTAATTTATTCTCCGTCCAAAATATTCGTACAATTTGAATATTTGCAGTTAAACGATAAAAGTATTAATCATTAATTTTTTATAGTCTTTTACAAGATAAATCAAATAAAATTATTTTTTGTACTATGGATCGTATAAATAAATAATCATCAAATAAAATTATTTTTTGTAAATCAAATAAAATTATTTTTTGTACAAGATAAATAATCATCAAATAAAATTATTTTTTGTACTATGGATCGTATAAATAAATAATCATCAAATAATATAAATTTTATTTAATTATTGATAATATTCATCTAGTTTAACTTTAAAAAGTCGAACAATTATTTAATTAATATATTCTTGTGCACGAACCACTATTTTATTTTAATTTCATAATAAGATTCCAAAATTGACCCAACAAGTTTGTTATAGAGAGAGATGATAAACCGACTATATATACACACACACACACACCCACCCTTATAATTTCAAAGTAATACAACAGCAACAACAATTATAAATATAATAATAAATTACTACATATAATTAGAAGAATTTTTTTTATTGTGTATAGAAAAAAATAATAAGAATATATAATAATGTGGCCAAGAGAAGGAGGTGGGTATTACATCAGAGCTGATTCAGAACTGACCATAATGAGGGGGCCTCAAATTGGAGCATATGCCATTCATTTCATCCTTTCCCGTTCCCAAGGCCAGTTTATTATTATTTAATTTTTTATTTCTTCAATTTTAAATTCTAATTTTTTTCTCCATAAATTAAATTATACGAGTACTTGATTTAAATATTACATTTCCTCTGTCCAGGTGTTTTCGTCAAAAATTAAATAAGAGGATGAGTAATCTTAAACCAACGCAAGATTATTCTTTATTACAATTTTTTTGAGATAATTTTTATGGCACAATGAAACATTTACTCTTCCCAAAAAGAATTATATTCTTCCAATTCACTATTCAAAAGTCACAGAAAATTTTAATTTGTTTATTATTTGTGCATTTTGATTGATAATTTAAATAAAATATTTATTGTCACTTCTTGTACGTTTTGTAGAACCTTTGACGTAGTTTTTGAATATGTAAGTTTTATTTTAAAATTCATATCAGTCTTTAAATAAAATAAACTAAAAAAAACTTTTGTTTTGTTTTGCGCAAAGTATACAATATTTTGGAACGAAGAGTATAATAAAAGCATTCTTAATTAAACGTAAAAATTAATGCTCTCTCCGTCCCAAAAAGATTTACACGTTTCAAAAGAATTGCGTCCCACAATCCCTTACCCATTTCTATTAAAAAACCACTCTTACCCCTTACTTTTTCAAACTCTACCTAACACATCATAGCTTTTTCCTAATAATATAATCTACACATCACATCGTACTTTTATCCATCACATCAAGGGTATTTTTGGAAAATCAACACAAAATTTTCCCTCCATTATTTCTACTTTAATCAAAACGTACCTATCTTTGTGGGACGGAGGGAGTATGAGTTTATATTTTTGAAATTTTGTTTATATTAATATTGTATAATTGTAACTAGTAGAGCAAACACAATACCTATCAATCATATAGTATGTGATGATTGATATACGTACCCTTTAAATTTTTTTTTTGGGCAGATTTTTATTATAAAAAAGAGAATGTTAAAGTCACCATGGACAGAGAAAAGAGAACAATAAAGGTAGTGGGTGAAGATCATTTGGACGAGGATGGCGATGTATGGGCTCACTTTGAACGCGAATTCACAGTTCCATATGGTTACGACATGAAAAGAGTTAGCTGTGAATTTTACAAAGACATGTTTCTCACTATTGAGATCCCAATTATATTATTTCCAAAGAAAGAAACCCAGAGATCCATCTGAGCTAGTAATCTCATTCATATATCATCACTATGTAATGTAACTAGATTGGAAAATGCTAAAAATCCCCCACCCTTGCTACCACCCATGCCCTCTCTACATTAACATGTGGTAGGGAGGCAAGAAAATTAAAATTAGAGGGTGTGTGGAAAATAGGTACAGATAAATATGTGGTAGAGAAGTGGGTGGAAGCAAGGTTGGTAGCAAGGGTAGGGGTGTCTAGCATGGTCCTATTAGATTTGCATTGTAACATAGTAATGAATTCAAATAATAAAAGATATTTTAATTTAAAATTCATAAAAGGTAAATTTGTAAATTGTGTAAATTATTTGTTTATGTCACAGGGCCGGTCCAAAAGGGGACTGATGGGAAATAATACGTGGCTCGGCCCACATTTCCCAATTATTTACGAAGAACAATCAAACCGGGCCTGTTTAATAAAATAGAGGAATAAGAGAATATTCCCTAAATATGTTTTCTCTCCTCCCCTATAAAAAAAGGGTTTACCCTCAATGTTGAGGGGGGGCAATTCACACTCTTCACTCCTTCCCTGCCCATTTACTCTCTCTCTCTCTAGAAAGCTTGTGTATATTTTCTTCTTTTTCAAGAGCTCAAATGCTCCATTAATGGCTTCTAGCCTAGATCATGTACCGTGTACACACCCCCGATATTAATAAAAATCCCTCGTTGGCAAGGTACCGCCAAAAAAGGCCCGTGGTTTTCTCCCGATTTGGGTTTCCACGTAAAAATCCTCGTGTTTATATTTTGGTGTATTTTTTGGACTAGTTAATCGTTTTAGCCGGGCTAAAAACGATATACCGGTCGATAATTTACACCATCATTTTGGCACCGACCGTGGGACCAGAACAAAAAGCTGTGCTTTTGTCCGGCCATCTTTCCGTCGGTGGAAGGAAAAAAAAAGTGAATTTCAAGAGTCAAATAAAGAGACTCAAAGAGAGAATTGGCCAAATTATACCGAACATATGTTCCGGCCTTCAACTGTTAATGCCTCCTGGATCTTTCGTAGCCACCTTCATTGCGGCTACCAGGTCCACCTTCGTCGTGGCTGCTGGAGTAACAGTGGTACAAAAAAACCAGAGAGATCACTCTCTGTTCGCCGCTGCCGTCATGGGTTGTGGCCACCACTGCCGCCGGTTGATGGAACCACCACACCAAATCATGAAACCGCACCCCGTTGATGTGTCTGCCCCTGTCACCGCTGGAGCCAATCATTGGAATCTGGTATTGCCGTCGTAGTGGGGGTCAGTTGTGGCTAGAATCCACAGAGGCTGCACACAGAGTTTGCCACTGCGGGAATTCATCCCTGCCACTTCGCTCGGGGCTAACAGGCAATGACCAAGAAACACGCCATTGCCACTACCAGAGGTTCATGGTCGTTGACGTTACCACGATTGAGTTCACCATCGTTGCTATTCATCGTGGCCGATCGGGATATGATCGCTGCCGCTTCACTCTCGAGACAACTTTGCCGATGTCACCCACTGGCCACTACCATCACTGGAGGACAATCCATCTAGATCTACCACTGTCGCATATGTCCACCACCATGTTATTGAAGTCTGCCACCAGCGCTACTGAGGTCTGGCCATCGTGACAACTGTTTAAAAAAAAACTTCCAGATCTGTTCGCCACTGAGGTTATCCATTTTCGCCGCTGAAGCGGATCACTGCTGCTGAAGAAGTCTGTCACCACCGTCGCCATTGGATCTGCCGTCATCGCCTGCACGCCAGAGGTCGGTGGTCATCCGTGGTGCCGCCGAGGTCCTTTGTAGCCAAAAGTCTGCCACTACCGAAATCTGATCTCTTGAACATCAGATCCGCCGCCACCGCCACTGTTGCGGCCGTTGCAGTTTTGGACCGCTGCAATGATGTGGTATCCAAGTCACTGAAACCACCGCGGGAGCCAGCCACAAGCCATTTCTAGATGGAGACGAGGTTTACCGACATCATACTGGTTCTCGGATGTGTCAACTATGTCGTCATCATTGCAGCAATCGTGGACTCTCAGGTCGCCGCCTCTGACCATCCACCGTGGAAGGACTGAGCTTCGTAGCTGCGGCCGCTTATAGATATGCAACCACCGACGTTACCGGATGTGATTCCGCCTTAGATCATGGTAATTGCGGCTGAAATTCCTCTCATTTAATCTGCTCCTGGCGAATCTGCCATCCCAGTTATAAAAATCCACCACCGTCAATAGCTCTAGAGCGCACAACAGCTGCTTCCCTTTGGATTCCAGCTTGGGTCTCCCGTCCAAAAAGACAAGACAAAAGAGAGAATGATGTATGTGCTATGGGCTTCACACTTTTTGATGAAATGGGATACAGCTGTGTACTCTGTAAATACTACATCACCATTACTTTTTGGAGCATATGGGTAGAAGTGGGACCCATTTCTATCCTTGATCAGTGGAGCACTTCATGGGAAAAACTCCAAATGCTTACATATCAGAATCTTTGTACGGAGTATATGCAAAGAAGAGACCGGCCAAAGTGAAAGAGGACAACAACTACAAAAAAGAAGATAAAATGAGAAGTGGAAGATGGGATGGCAAATTGGAGTAATAATGAGAATGGTGGGGGCCATTGATTCCATTATATGGAATAATTAAAAGGCTCCTCGAGTAAATTCGAGGGAGTTTCACAACTTCACATGTCATTTGGCCCCACAAGTCCACTTAAAATCTCAAAGATATTGCTTTGGTGGAATTGCGTACGGGATGCGTGTATCTTGGGAGATTTGTCTTGATGAAGACAGGAAGACTGGGACACAGGTCCGGACCTGGAACGCTGGTTACTACACCGGTCTTGCTCAGTATAAAATAAAAAAATAATAAACCCGGAAGAGGGTATGCCTGCAAGAGGGCTGGACCTGGAAGAAGGTTCGAACCGTACTTACACGGGCCCATGAGGTTTGACCGGTATCGGGGAATCAGCCGGTGCCGTCAAATTGATTGGGGACTAAAAGATGCACATTAAAAGAAATAGAAAGGGATCGTCCACCGTGGCGCATCCTATTTCCCCCTTCTCAGGGAAGACTTGAACGGGGGGTGAGCTAAGGCCTTCCCGGGATAGTAAACATCAAAGGGCCATTAAAAGACTTAATCACCTGGAAGAGGGGGCCCTGGAAGAAGGGTGCATTTTGGGCCTTGGAGAGGGCTCGAAACCATTCAACATGGTTAATTCTCCAATGTGGATCTGGCCCGGCCAGCAGCATTATCTTATGGGAAGACTGAGACACAGGCCCGGCCTGGCACGCTGGTTACTACACCGGTCTTGCTCAGTATAATAAAGAAAATATGTGACCCAGTCGAACTGGTACACTGGTCTCACACCGGTCTTACACATATTTTCCAATAAGCCTGAGCTTAATCGAATTGGGTACACCGATTGCACATTGGTTTCCGCAAAAAAGTGAGCAAAGCTCATATCGGGGACGCCCGATTCATTTAAGCCCTCTATTTGAGGCACCTTGATCGAAGATGGTCTCCGCGAGACATGAAGATATTTACATCAGTCAGCCGGGCTAACAGTGATCTTCAACAAAGCTATTACATCGTATTCAATTCTTATTAACTAACGTCGATGTCGTCTGTATACTAATTTCGTCATGCATCGTTTACTTAATCCGTACTAACATCGGTCTCGACGAAATAACTACTCGAAGCATCGTTGCTTTATCAAATTGACATCGCTCTCGTTACGGTAATTATTCGCGCGAAGCTTAATCACCCTGACACCAAGCTTCTCGGTAAAAATAATAATTTTTTTGAGCACGGCATAGGCCGGTCAAAAAAAAAAGAATGTTGTACATATTATTTTTGCAAGAAAAACTTCTGATTCAAGAAATTAGAGAATTAATGAAGACTCGGAGGACTAGCAATAATATCAACCGGTCAAGAATCCAAAGTACGAAGACTGAAGATATCACTCGGAGGACTTGTTTACTTTTTTAAGTTGATGATTCTCACAACTTAAAAAAGTGGAGGACTTCTTGATGGGAAATAATACGTGGCTCGGCCCACATTTCCCAATTATTTACGAAGAACAATCAAACCGGGCCTGTTTAATAAAATAGAGGAATAAGAGAATATTTCCTGAATATGCTTTCTCTCCTCCCCTATAAAAAGAGGGTTTACCCTCAATGTTGAGGGAGGGCAATTCACACTCTTCACTCCTTCCCTGCCCATTTACTCTCTCTCTCTAGAAAGCTTGTGTATATTTTCTTCTTCTTCAAGAGCTCAAATGCTCCATTAATGGCTTCTAGCCTAGATCATGTACCGTGTACACACCCCCGATATTAATAAAAATCCCCCGTTGGCAAGGTACCGCCAAAAAAGGCCCGTGGTTTTCTCCCGATTTGGGTTTCCACGTAAAAATCCTCGTGTTTATATTTTGGTGTATTTTTTAGACTAGTTAATCGTTTTAGCCGGGCTAAAAACGATATACCGGTCGATAATTTACACCATCAGGGACAAAGTGTCCGTCCGGGCCGGGCCGAATAATTTTAGGGGCACAAAATTCTTTGTTTAAGTAATATATATAAAAGCCCATACCATTTTAGGCCGAGTCCACCCCTCACTTACTCTGCCCCTTAGCCTAGTCTACCCACTCACTTTGTCACCTGTAAAAAAAACCAATTAGGGACTGCCGAACAGTCGAAGAAAGGACTGGATTATCGGAAGAGCCAATAGCCGAACGCCAGAACAAAGGACACTGTCATCACCACGCCGGACGCCGCCTTCCACGGGTATTCCATATTCAATTATTCATAGCTTTCCAATTTTGTAATTTTTATTTTTAGATCTTAATTTTCTTTCATTGTTTCATTTTTTAGATTTAAAATCTAGGGTTAATTATTAGTTTTTAATTTGAAATCTTTTCTAATTTCATTCTTTAAAATAGAATGAATTAATGGTTCTATATGTTATTTATTTGATTTGGATGGATTGATTTGAATTTGTTATTTATGATATATTTATATAAAAAACTGAAAAAAATTTAAAAACTGATAAAATGACGAATTGATATGAATTTATGATTTATAAAAAAAATTAAAACTGAAAAAGCAAAAAACAATTTAAAAAAGAAATATTGACGAATTGATATTAGTTTATGATATATTTATTTATTTGCTTACTTTTCAGTTTTTCATACTTGCTTTTGCTAAGTAGTAGAATTTATAAATTTGGATTTTATTTCAGAAATAACTCAATAGCTAGAGCCTTTTTTTTTTGTTTCGGCCCAGACACATGAATTCTCAGGACCGGTCCTGGTTTATGACTCTAATATTTTAAAAAAGCAAAAAGTAATGCAAAAATCACAAACAAACAATTCTTTATGAAGTTTGCAATAAAAATGCTTTTAAGACCACTAATTCACTACCCTGAAAAGTAAACATGCATAGTATAATTTTTTAATTAGAGTCTTTGTCTATTTTTTAATATTGTTTTTAGTTAATATTGATAAAGTTTGATTTTAAATTAAATGAAAGTGATGTTAAATATTGATATAAAAATTATTTTATAAGATTTATTATATAAAATATTTTTGAAATATTATTTTACCTAATTAGTATACAATATGTATTTTATTAAATTATATTTCATACATTTTAAGTTTTAAAAATGATTGATAGAAAAAAAATTAAAACCAAACAAATACTTCCTCCGTCTGAAAACCATCTTCTCGTTTGTGTTTACGAGGTTTGACCGATTTTATTTTCAATTCAATTTATTTAATTCTAGGTCAAAAATTAAAAAATAAAATTTATATATATATAAACTACATCAAAAATTTAAAAAACAATAAGTGAAAAGAATATATCATTTTATCAAATAATTAACAAAAATAAGTAAAAAAATAGTTTAAATTTAACCGTGTAAATAGTAACTGGAAAGGACTAATAATACTCCCTCCGTCCCAAAAAGAATGTTACGTTTCATTTTTTGCGCATCCCTTAAAACACTTTTATATCGTCTCAAATGCCAAAAAAATTTTCAAAACAATTTCATCTTATAATAAAGAGTAAATATGGTAAATTTTAGAATTTTTAGATGTGAGTAGCCGTGCTTTTTGTGATGCACAAAAGAATGAAATGTAACATTCTTTTTGGGACGGAAGAGTACAAATTAACCATAAATAAAAAATAAAAAGAGAGAGGATAAGAACCTGGCGAGTCACTGTGTCCCTCCCGAGCTCATAACTCGCGCTGCTATGGAGTCAACCTTGCTCGCAGCACAATCAACAATGTGTCTTGCATCAGTCTCCAAATCGCTGAAGTTCTATTCGCTGCCGTTAGTTTCTCACTCCCAGTTCCGTTTCTCTGCGAATCAGGCGAGTCAATTCGTGCTTCTGAGCCGGCTTGCTCGGGCCCGTCTCAGATCGATTTATTCGGGGAGGAGCTTGATATCGGGAGATTTGAATCGCGTTCGATGGGAACTGCGGTGTATCTCCAGCTCTGCGGAAAGTGCGGCTCCCTTTGCTGCGGGAGATGGAGGAAACGGTGGTTTTCGTGGAAGTGAGGGCGGCGATGGCGGTGGCGGTGGAGGCGCGCCGGAGGGGGGCGAGGAGAACCCTAATGTGATTGCAGCCGCCGGAGAAGATGCGTCTGGTTTATCTTCTGATGTCATCATACTTGACGTCTCTGTAAGTTCCACTCACTCAAACGTAGTTGATTGTACGCATTGTCGTCAAAAACTTCAAATTAAATAGACTATTGGTCATTCAACTTGTGCACGATTGGTCCTTCGAGTTTTAAATGTCTATGGGTAGTACAAGCTAGTCCTTTTGACGGTAAGTGTTAAAAGCTAAATGAAGTACTAGCTCCATATAATACGGAGTAGTCGTACCTAGTGGAATTTACTTGTATTATATGGAACTCGTATTCCATTTAGCTTTTAATGTTTACTGTAAAAAAGACCTCATTTATTTGGAATGTTGACGTACGTGTACTTGAAGGATTACTCATGGACTTTTGAAACTTGAAGGACCAATCGTGCACAACTCATAAAGTTGAAAGATTATTTATGGACTTTTGAAACTTGAAGGACCAATCGTGCATAACTCATAAAGTTGAAGGACCAATGGTGGATTTTAGCCAATTAAATAAATAATTCAAATGTCTGCAGGGAATGACATGCGGAGGATGCGCCGCAAGGGTGAAAAGGATTTTGGAAAGCCAAGTGAGTATTCTATGGGGAACATATGTTAATTGTTTGAATATTTTTTTTGCTATTTCCATTCTTTGCCCCTGGAATGGCATTCTACATACTGCATCTTTGTTAACTATATTTTGTTTGTATGAACAGCCTCATGTTTCTTCAGCTAGTGTTAATCTTACTACAGAGACAGCAGTTGTATGGCCTGTATCTGAAGCAAAAGCTGTTCCTAACTGGCAAAAGCAGCTGGGGGAGGAACTTGCAAAACATTTGACAAGTTGTGGATTTGAAACCAATATCCGAGGTTAGCACTCCTCTATCAATCGTATATGTTGTGATACAGGCTATAGAGCTAAGATGTGTGCTAAGCTCACTGAATAATACCCCGTACACCGTAGGATTTATACTCTATTTGAACATTTTGAAGAGCATTTTTCAAGCTACAATGATGCCTTTTACTCACTTTTTGGGGAGTCCAGAGGCTATTATTTTTAATATCGAGTACTCCCTCCATTCCTTATTAATCATCTGTTTTGTTTTTGAGTGTATAACTTTGATTTACAATATACAATGAAGTAAAATACTCATTCCGTCCCCATATAAACTTCAAACATTTCTTTCGCAACAGTCCCATAATAAATTTCACTCTTTTCTTATTTCCATTTAAGGAAAGGAATGTGAGGCTCCCATTGTTTATCTCTTTTAAAAAAAATTCAACACCACACTTTTAACTTTTCAATGTTTTCCTTAAACTCCGTGAAGTCGTATACGGAGTAATGAAATTTCTGTTGGGACAGAGGGAGTATAAAATTCATATTGTTGCATTTGTATTGAAAAACAATTTTACTACTAACCCATATTTTTCTTCCCACTTTAACTTGACACAATTATTTTGTTAAAAAGTGGAATTTTATAGTTGTGGTTGATTTAGAAGTGAGAGAAAGATTGTGGACCATAGAAACATTTCCTTAAAAGAAAATGGGGAGTAAATTTTAGAACAAAAAAAGAAAAGCGGGAAGGAAATTTTAGGAGAGTGGGAGTAAATTTTTATATAATTTTTACTAATATATTTTAAAAGATACTATTGGTCCAAAGTTAAAGCCAAGAAACAAAACAGAGAGAAATTATGGAATAAAGGAGCATTACTTATCTAGGATATATTCATGTACTTCTCGATTGTTAACTTAGAAAAACCTTTGCATTTTAAGCCATTCTACCATTCAACCATACAACAACAACAAACCCAGTAAAATCCCACAGAATGAGGTCTGAAGAGGGTGAGTGTATGAAGACTTTAAAAATGATGGGATGTTCTTATGGGAATGACTTGGATGAAGTGGAAGCTTTCTTACGGTGTCTTATGTAACAAGAAGATATCAACAAATTGAAAGGGAAGTTCTAGGCCATATCATCTATGTTGTATGGAACAAAGTGCCAAGTAGTGAAGAACACTCACGTTCAGAAGCTTGGAGTGGCATACGAGGATGGACATGGTTCGGAAATCGGAACAAAGATATATAGGGGATGGTGTAAGTGGTCTTCGTTGAGAATATGATGCATAAAGCAAGATTGAGATAGTTTGGGCAAGTGCAGAAGAGAAAAGTACGAATGCTCTTGTGAAGAGGTGCAAGAGGCTGGAGCCTGGAGGTAGGGGATGTGAGGAGGTATAGGGGTAGACTTAAGAAGAGTTGGATTAAGGTGATTAAACATGACTTATGGGCTCACAAGTTAACTAAGTATAGGAGCTTGTGGAGGTTTAGGAATTAGGATTAAGGTGGTAGGGTAGATTTTGGGTAGTGCTATGCCCTTGTGCAGGACTTGTTGTCTTATTTTGTTGTATCTACGTGTGTGCTTGCTTCTGTTGTGCTATTCTCTTTTGTCTTTTCTCTTTCGTTTACCTGCCTTTTTCCTTTCTATGATCTTTTTGTTTTGAGTTGGGGTCTCTTGAAAATAGCTTTTCTACTTCTTCAGTATAGAGGTCTGCGTAAACTCATCCTCCTCAGACCCCATTATGTGAAATTTTACCGAGTTTCTTTTGTTTGGTATCATACATACCACGGATGCTTTTCATTGGGAAAATCCAGTCTTCTCATTCAAATAAATATAGTGTGCTTAATGGCAAAATCTTGGAAAATCGAATCCAATGGTTAGATGATACAAGCTAGTGTTGCAACAATGTGAAATTGGAATACAAATTTCAATTTGATAAAAGTACAGCAGAGTATTGAAGTACGGTGTATAATTTTTTTAGGATTCCTGTATGTCCAAAAACAAGCTCATTTCTGCTTCGGTGGGACCTGATGTTTGGATTTTGAAACACTGCTCTGCTCTAGGTCTGTATAATCTAGTTTTACTAAATCAAAAGAGTGAAAATTAATTGTAGATTTCTAGTCCACTAATGCCCTTCTCTCTACTCTGAAAACAATTTAAATGTGCTAGGCTTGGGTCTCATATTACTTATATTAAGCTTTATGGGTAATTCACAGGGGAGGGAGCTATCGAAGGAGAAACCCCATCATGAAATCAAAGATTTGTTTGTAATGAGAAACCATTCTCCTTCATGGTATGTCCCCATCATGCTGGCATGTAACTCAAACCCAGTTAAGAGTAATGTTTTCTTTCTGGTCAAAAATTTAGGTTAGTATGTGCTTAACAAAAGATTGTTTTTATCAATAGGTGACTTGGCGGCTAGTAGTGGTGATTTTTTTGAAGGAAGACATTGATGAACTCGGGAAGCCTATGCATTATGGACAAGTAGAGAAATTTTTACGAATTTAAGTCAACAAAACCTATCGCTCCCACTGAATGGTTTTCTGTTTTAAAATGTTAGACACTTTCTAGCTCATGATGGGCATGCTGTCTTGTCCATCACCTTTCTTATTTTGTTCTCCAGTGTAGTGGCTGAATAATACTTCCTACATTCGGTAGCTACGTGTGGGTGTAATTCTCTTGTTGTATCACTTGTATGTGCAATGATTTGAAGCATGTTTTCTGTGAAACCTTTGGAACATCTTGATATACGGACGTCCTTCTCATTGTGGTTATTTACTGTTCTATGCAAGTCTGAACTCTGAAGTTATTTTTTGGTCTTTTGGGGCTTTCAAATCCCATTCCATTCTCTTCTGTTGCAACAACACCAAACTCAGCAAAAACCCATTTTCTTCTGTTGTAATGGAGAGAAATGATTTCATTTTACATATATATCTGGCAAATACCACCGATGATCCGGGTGGTACTTACTCCCTCCGTCCCTTAAAAAAGGCCACACTTTGACTTTCACATAATTTAAGAAAAATGTTAAAAAGTGAAAAGTGTGTGATTGAAATTTATGCAGAGGAGAGAAAATTTCTGAACTACGTGTTCTTTTCCTTAAAAAGGAATGCGACATTTTTTTGGGACGGATGAAAAAAGAAAGTGAGACAATTATTATGGGATGGATGAAGTATTTTTTGAATATTTAGAAAATCGAAATTTTAGTACACATCAATTTTACAACATCATATCACCAATGTTCTAAAAAACAGATACTGGGCACTAGGTGGCACCTTGCTGGCCTGATTTTGCTCTTATTGATGAATAAAGGCAGTCAACTGACTTGGCAGGCTGACGGTGTCCATCTTTTTTTATTTTAAGTTTTATTTTCCCCATCTAATGCGGGATAGGCAGCTCTCTACGTGAAGCCTTCTATGAAACACCTAGTCCCAAGGAATCCAATATATCTTAAAGGAATATGATATGCTCCTTCCAAATGGTGCATCTAGTGCAGTTTTTAGAGTTCTACTTGTTTTAGCACTTAAACATGTAATAAACTTTTGACATTCTGCTTCTGAAGTGGAAAGTCACATACTAACTATTCACTTAAAGTGGTGTATACTCCTTAATCCATGTCTAAGTTAACAGAACTTCCATCTTGCTTATCACATTAACAGTTACCAAACTACTAGAATTAATGGTTGGCCCGAGTGTTGTCAAGGCCTTCAATTCTGCCTATCCAGTTTCAGATGAATTTCATATCTCCTCGTGATTGAATAGTTTTTTCATGATAATACAATATTTATTATACATTCTTAATGGAACTAAAAGAGTCAATTTTTACAATGTTTTAGCTTTGGGTAATGATGGACTAGATCAATATTTATGAAGTTTTGGGAAGTAAATGCATCAATGTGTCAAGGGTCCAACAGAATTACTCTCTGTTTTTTATAGGGGTAAGGTTGCGTACATCTTGACCCCCAAGACCCCATGGAGTTGGGATTATACTGGGTTTGTTGCTGTTGATAATTTGATATTTAACTTGAATGCAGATTCCCGAAGAGAGATCTTGTTTGAAAGATTTGAGAGGAAGATGAAAGAAAAGCGTGCTCAACTACAAGAAAGTGGTACTTGTCTTGCTTTAAGTTTAGGGTGTTGGAAATTTGTCCTGAAATTTTCTCCGTTTATCAAGCTAAGCTATGAAAATAACCACTTGGATTTCAACAGGCCGTGGACTTGTTGTCTCCTGGGCTTTATGTGCTGTCTGCCTTGTAGGCCATCTTTCTAATTTCATTGGAGTGAAGGCTTCATGGATCCATGCACTTCATTCTACAGGATTTCATATATCTTTGTCTTTGTTTACATTGCTTATTCCCGGTCGGCGACTTATCATAGATGGTCTGAAAAGTCTTATTAAGGGGGCACCAAACATGAATACTCTAGTCAGTCTCGGGGCCTTGTCATCTTTTGCTGTGAGTTCAATGGCAGCACTTATGCCAAAACTGGTAATGTCTTGTATTTGAGCTCATGATTTTTCCTTTTTCACTGGGTCAGTGAGATGAAAGTTAGTGTCACTTAATAATATATAACTAGTACACACTATGCATTCATACAAAAGTTGTATACTGACAAATTCTTACATCGAATGCACATCATGTCGCAACATTCTTACAAGGGCCACTCTTTTTTTGGTACAGGCTTTACACTATTCCCCCCTTCATGCAGTTTATTTCTCTGCTCCACCTGTAGACATTTTTTTTTTTGAATTTTGTAGTCTCCTTTGATGAAACTTTCTCACATCTAGGGATGGAAAGCATTCTTTGAGGAACCTGTAATGTTGATTGCAGTTGTCTTGCTGGGAAGGAATCTTGAGCAGAGAGCTAAAATTAAAGCTACAAGTGACATGACAGGTCTCCTTAATACATTACCATCTAAAGCTCGTCTTGTAGTTGATAGTGACACGGGGGGTCAGGCATCAACTGTGGAAGTTCCTTGCACAAATCTCTCTGTTGGAGATCATATCATCGTACTGCCTGGGGTATGTTTATGGTTTATTGTGCTTTATTTATTTTTATATGAGTATTATGTAATGCCAGGAAGAGTGTCTTTGTTTTGCATTATTGCTTAGGCCTGATAATCGATGAATCGGGTCTGTTTTTTCTACCACTTCAGAAGCACATCTGTCTCTTATTCTAAAAGGAATCAAAGGATTACTATGCCCAAAATCAGTTTTAACTCATTACGCTTCAATGTTTTAGTATTTATGTTTGTAAAGAGTTGTTCTATTCTCCCATACAACAGGATCGTATACCTGCTGATGGAATTGTTAGAGCTGGTAGAAGCACAGTTGATGAATCGAGTTTCACAGGGGAACCTTTACCAGTCACTAAATTACCTGGGGTAGTCAACTTCTATTTATGTTCTGCAGTTATTATTTTGTATGTTGTGAGGTCTACATGTGTCTTCTCATTTTTTTATTAGTAATTATATTATGAGTAGCATTCTTTTGGTGGGAGGGTGAAGTGTTGGTGAATGGTTTATCTTTCTTTGAATTGTCTAATATTTTCTGTTTCGATTCAAGGGTCAAGTTTCTGCTGGATGTATCAATCTCAATGGGATGCTTACTGTTGAAGTGCAAAGACCAGGTGGTGAGACTGCAATCGGGGATATTGTTCGATTGGTTGAAGAAGCACAGACAAGAGAAGCTCCTGTACAACAACTAGCTGATAAGGTTATTAATTCCTTCATTTTTATGTATTTTTTTATTAGGATAAGCATCATTCATACTTCAGAAAGACTGGTTGTTGCCTGCTCTCTCTCTCTCTCCCTCCCTCTCCGTCATTGTCTAAATAGTCATTGTAAATGCAACAGAAAATTAAAAAGATTCAAGTTAATCCGTGATATTTTTAAATGGTTGTAAAAACTACATGCAGCCTTCAAAAAGCAAATACGGAGTATATTATTGTTTTAAAGCAGAAGAAAGAAAACATTCTTGTATATTAATATTGATATTCACAAAGTTCCTGAAACATGTCAAGATGATCTTCTCTTTCTTTCTCCCTGTCTCCTTTCATTTGCATGTGGTGTTCAAATATAGTAATTGCTCTTTTCAATCATAAGTTGTGTTGCTTCTACGTAAAAATAGGTTTCTGGGCATTTCACTCATGGAGTGATAGCTCTCTCTGCTGCCACATTTATGTTCTGGAACCTCTTTGGAGCTCGCGTTTTGCCTGCCACTCTTCATCAAGGAAGTTTGACTTCTCTGGCCTTGCAGCTCTCTTGTACTGTCCTGGTATGTTTGTAAAGTGAAATGAGAATTATGAGACTGTTCTTCAAGGTTTAACATCACGGATGCTCGTTAACTATCTTCCTCTCGCAACATCTTAATATGGTGTTTCTTTGTTTATTTTAATCTCTTTGGTTATGTTAGAATCCTGGAAAATAGTAGGGAAGAGTGTAAAGTTGTTGTTATTATTATTATTATTATTATGATTTTTGTTGTTGTTGTTGTTGTTGTTAATAATAATAATACCTTGGGAAACGCAAAGGAAATGATTTCTTTGACAATATACATATATGTAGATTTATAAGTCTTTAAATGATAGAAATACTTGATAAAATGAGTTTGGACACATCTAGAATAAATTCACTGAGTTTGAACCTTTTTTTAAAATTTCTCCGCCAAATTCTCTTTCCTTCTAATTCTCCTTCCTATTTTCCTCCCTATTTCATTTCCCTTATATTTTCCAAATTCCAAATGAGCTTTTTAGGGTTCCCAACATTTCCAATCATCATTTAGTGTCATACTCCGATTGGCTTGACTTGCATCTTCTACTTCTAGACCTTTTTCTATCTCATCTTCTATTTGTTTTGACGAGACAATAAATTCTGCATAGGTTGTTGCGTGTCCCTGTGCCCTTGGTTTGGCTACCCCAACTGCTGTGATGGTAAGATTTATTTACAGAATAGATCCATGGTTGACAAATTTAAATAGTCTGTAGTGCATTTTTGAAATAGTCTGGTAACATTCTTTTGATCAAAGGTTGGAACTTCACTTGGTGCCACAAGGGGATTGCTTTTGCGTGGTGGAAGCATCTTAGAAAAATTTTCTATGGTGAATGCCATTGTATTTGACAAAACAGGAACATTGACTATTGGTAGACCCACTGTCACAAGAGTTGTTCCCCAAGGTTGCATTGTAGATACACATGGAAGGTTGAGTAAAAAGATACTGATTTTCATAGTTTAGGATAAATCTTGTAATGCATTTTAGACACAGGTTGCAGAAATATCTAAGTGCTATACCCGATATAACAATACCCTTAGAATACCTATATTAAAATAAATAAAATATACTCCCTTCTCCAGTTGTCGGTCTCCCAGAAAAGTCCTGTTTAAGTGTGCTACAAATCTACAACTTATTATAACTACCTCCGTCCCAAATTGGCAAATTGTTTGCAACATTTCGAACGACGTGCAAAATATCATCTCTTTTAAAATCATTTTATTTTCAAATTGGTAGAGAAATAAAAAGTAAAAATTACACCGTTCAAAAGTACATCAAAAGTTCTACAAAACAAGATGCGACAAGAAAATTTTATTTTATCAAATGGTCAAGCAAAACGAGTAAACAAACAAAAGCTATCGAGAGGCCAAAATAGTAACTGTGGCATTCTTTTTGGGACGGAGGGAGTATTACTTAACAATCAAAGTACATGTTTTTGTAAATGAGAGTTGACTTCTAAAACTGCATCTGTTTTTTAGGACAAGATTTCTTGAAACATGTATTTTT